CAACACATATAAATGAATATAAAATGCATTTCACATCTCATTATATCTCTTTAAATGCAAAATATGACAATATTCGCAAAACTCGCTTCCTGCATTATTATCGTATCCGCTGAAGTTTGACAAACAATCTTATTAATCTGATTTGAATGTATTAATTATGCATATAATAACTACGCTGTTTTTCATAAAAAGAAGTTGTTATTGATATTTTGAAGTTAGAATTGTATCTGATTTAACAGATAGAGCATATTCTAATGTACGATATAAATCATTATTGTGTTTTGTTAGAACAAAGTTCTTTTTTCTGTTTTTAATAGAATCGTCACTGTTGTTAATATTTCAACACAAGAAATTTTGAGAATCTCGACGGGGTAAGTTTAAATTCTTCTTGAGTTCTTCGAATATGTTTTTTTTTAATTTTTGAATAAATTATCTGAAATATTATTTCTTTATAAAACTAAAGCATGTATACAATATGCTATAAGTACAATTAAGTATACGTTAAATAAGTATTCTAAATATTTCTGCAATTTATATATTTATCGATACATTTACACAATCATATTTATCTTAAGATTTTTTATTCCTTAAACAATATTAATAAAATTTATATTTATTAAACTTTTTGATTAATTAAATTTTGCTGTACTACGAATAAGCTATTGATTAAAATAATTTAATTTAATTATATATATATTTTTTAAGAAAATAATAAGATTTTAAATTATGCAACTATTCTCTTCTTCTTTCTTCTTTTAATGTTAAATTTTTCATTCTTCAAAAAATGATTTTTAATAAAATTTCTTTTTCTTTTTATTTTACATACATGTACTTTGAAAGTTTTATTAGCTTTTTCTTATAATTACCAGAATTTTTAAAAAATGGATAAAAACAAGCTATACAATCCATATGCTAGAGTCGATACTGAAGAAGAAATCGTCATTTCTGGAATTTCCGGGCGATTTCCTAATTCTGATAACATAAAGGAATTTCAGGAAAATCTTTTGAATAAAATGGATCTTGGTTCAGACGATCATCAACGTTGGAGTGATTGTAATATTTTTTCAAAATTATATTAAATACATATCAGTTTATATATAAATAAAATTATATGTATATTAGATTATATATCAGTTTTTGTTGTAGTACAAAATACTTATTACAAATAAAATCTACAACTTATACCAATATTATTTATATATAAATTATTTTAATATCCTAACAGATATCTATGAAATGCCTCCTCGTATAGGAAAAATAAACAATCTACCCAAGTTTGATGCAGAATTCTTTGAAATGTCGTTCTCAGAGGCTCATACAATCGATCCTGGTATCAGAATGTTACTGGAACATACTTACGAAGCAATAATTGATGCGGGTGTAAATCCAGCAGAATTACAAGGAACGAACACAAGCGTCGTCACAGCAATAAGTGCTTCTGATACATATCTGGATTTAATATACGAGAAGCCTCACGTATGTGGTTTACGTATTGATTATTCAATAATTCAAGTATCAAAAATTGTTAAAAAAATACATTCTCCTTAAATTGTATAAAGATATTTATATTAGATTAGATATATTTATTGCCGCCCCAATTGGGGATTACAAGGCGCTTTTTTTTTTTAAAGGAGCGTTCCCAAACCTTTATTCCTTTCTTTACCCTTTTTCCTTAACCTAAACTTATACCTATAACTTAACCTAATTACAATACATATTCAATTTTCGCCACGCCTCTCCTCTTCGCCGCCTTTTTCCTCTTTTCTCGCATTTCTGGCCTACCTACACACACACGTCCGCCTTTCCCTAACCTTTTTTTTTTTTTTTTTTTTTTATTTTATTTAGCGATACGGCGCTGGGCAGGGGAATCCATCTTACGGATACCGACGGGGCCGGTCCCCGTGCGGTTATGTGGTGACTCCTCCGGTCGTAACCCCGCATCCCACGTGGTTGGTCGGAGCTAGCTTCCGATCCCCCACGCAAGACGGACAGGTCGCGACCGGCCCTACCCACTAAACCTCTGCCCTTGACCAGAAGGCATTCCTCCTTCCTGGTCAATGTTGGGCCCGGGAGAACTGCTGTCGGCATTACTTTCCCGGGTCCAACCCAACTTTGCTTTCGCGATAACATCCTCACGGTAGCCCTCATGGTTGTTGTGTCTAACCGTGCTTACACACATACACACATTCATACCCTTTCACACGTCTGTACACATACACACATATATGCTAATACACACACACATGCATACACACACACACACGCATATATTCACTCGTACATTGTTGCATATATACTCGCGCGACGCACTTCATGCACACACGAATACATATACAGACTCATTCCTTAAGATAATAACACATATGTACAAGACAAGCAAGCATATTGTGTACGCTTCGTTTATGGAAGTTTTGGTGATGGTAATAGTACCATCACTGCCCCAACCATCCTCTCTTGCATGCTTGGGTTAGATTGTTGGGTGAAGGAACCCCAACCATCTATTTGAAGCCATCCTTGGTTGATTAGAGCTTCCGTAGCGGTCCTAACGTCCCGCCAGGGCTCCAGTTGCCTCCTTCTTAAATTACTACTTAATCTAAGGATTAGGTCGTCCCTTTTTACGCGCTTCCTCACGGTAGTAGGTCATCCGAGGACGACGTTGATGATGAGGAAGTAGCGATTTCCTCCTCGCTAGAGTCTGAACTGGGAGGGGGTGGGATTAGGGCGTCTCGTGCCTGTCTCTCTCTCTCCTGGTTTTCTTTTTGGAGCATGACTGTCTCCGTGAATTTAGTCATGGCTCTCCAGGCGTCTTCATCCGAGGTGATGGCCTGCACCACTTTGTCCATACCTAGGTCGTCTCCGATGACGGCTTTCAGGGCTTCTCTTTCAGCGCTCCATTTACCACAGTTCTGTAAGGTATGTTCCGCACTGTCAATGCTGTTTCCAGAGCAGTGCTCGCATACTGGAGATCCTATTTTGCCTATGCGATATAAGTATGAGGCAAAACAGCCGTGACCCGTTAGTATTTGGGTCAAGTGGAAGGCCATGCTTCCATGTCGGCGGTCCAACCAGGCCCGTATATTGGGCAAAATTGCGTCTCTAGTACGAATACCGGCGATCATTGGCCTTTGTGTATATATTTCCCACTGCCTGCGCATAACTAACGCCTCTGACTCTCTGATCTCGTTTGCCATACTTGATGTCCAGTCGCTAAGTAGTCTTGACTCAGACGTTCTTACGTATACACGTTTCCGCATTGCCGCCAGAAGGTGCAGTGGCGGAATTCTCGCCAGAAGCGATGCTGCGTCAAGTGAGACCGTCCGGTATGCAGAGATGACCCTTAAGTTGGTGATCCTCATTAGTCGGTCGAGTTTCTCCCGATTACGTCTTGCGGCTGTTAAGGCATCGCACCATATTGGTGCGGCATAGAGAATAATCGATAGCACGACATTAGCGTATAACCTCCTTTTTGCTTCTCTGGGTCCCCTCAGATTGGGCATGAGTCTGCCCAAGGATCTCGAGACTTTGGAGACTTTAGCTTCCACGTATTTGAAGTGGTCTCTAAATGACATTCTAGAGTCCAATATCACACCAAGATATTTCATCGACGTCTTGGTTAGAATAATCTCGCCGCCGATTGTTACACATGGAAGCTGGTCCGGTTTTCTTCTGCCGTGGAACAGTACCGCTTCGGTCTTATTAACCGATACTGACAGTCCTAATCTTTTGATCCTATTTAGGATCAATGCCGTCTGGTAGTTGGCTCTTGCTATGGCAGTGGAGACCGTATCAGCTGTTGCTAGAATAAGGGTGTCGTCCGCGTAACAAACGGTTCGACACCCATACTCATTGCCTTCTTGGAGGACGCAGTGGTACCCAACGTTCCAGAGAATGGGGCCGAGGACCGACCCTTGGGGTACCCCAGCCGCCACTGGTCTGGTAATGACGTTACCTTGATTGTCTAAGAACTCGATGGAGCGCTGGTGTAAGTAGCTATCGATTATTCTTCTCAAGTATTCCGGGAAACATTTCCGTTTAAGAGCATCTCTAATGACTGGCCACGGGAGCGAATTAAAGGCATTAGAAATGTCCAGGCTAATCGCGATCACGACTCCATCTTGTTGGATAGCCTCCTCAATTGCCGACTGGACTTGTGCTAGAGCGTCACAAGTGGATCGCCCCTCTCGGAATCCATATTGGTTTGCCGAAAGTTGGTGGACCGGGTTTTCGTTCATCCAGGCGTTGAGTCGATCCACGATAATCTTTTCAAAGATTTTGCCAATCTCGTCTAGAAGGCATATCGGACGTACCTTCGGAATTGTCTCGTCAGGGCCGTTGCCTCCTTTAGGTATTAGTACGAGCATGGCGCGCTTCCATCTCTTGGGAAATGTGCCCTCTTTGAGGCACGTGTTTAAGCAGGTTGCGATATCTGCTATCATCTCTCCTGGGAGTAGACCTAGTATCCTTGTTTTGATCCCGTCCGGTCCCGGGGCCGTGTTATTGCCGGCTTTTCGTTTGATGGTGGTGAATACTTCTTTGGCGGTGATGTTGTATTCCTCTGCCGTCTCTTCAGGCCATTGCCAGTTAGGCCATAGCTCATTAGGGTCCGTTTCAACTCCACTCGGGAACAAGGATTCCAGGAGAGTGTTTACCGTGTCCTCATTGAGTGTTTCGGTAAGGCTAGGAGAAGATCTGCGCAGTTTCTTCAGGACTACCTTATAGGGCAGGCCCCAGGGATCGTCCTCGATCGTTTGAATGAGATCCTGCCAGGCTATGTATTTTGCCTTACTAATTTCGCTTTTAAGGGCTTTTCTAGCCACCTTATACCGATCCCGAAGTGGTGTTAAAATCTCCAGGGGTCTTCTTCTTTGCTTTGCATGGGACCATGCTCTTCTCGTCGCTATAGAGGCTTCTCTGAGTCTTGCGATGTCAGTGTTCCACCAGTATGTTTGCTCTTTCGGAGGAGGTTTCTTAATCCTGCTAGCGCCAACATCACACGCTTGGTGGATGGAGCGCTCGATCCATTTAGCCTGATCTTCTGCAGTTTTCTCCGTAGGCTGATCGTCGGAGTTTGTGCAGTTCCAGAGTATTGCGGCCCGAAATTTATCGATATCCATCTTTTTGATATTCCATCTTGGATATTTTTGACTATTACTACTTCGATCATTGACATTTAGATAACCATCATCTCGTCCGAAAAACATTTGGATATATTCGTGGTCGGACAGGGATTCGGTGTTGTTCATGACCTGCCAGCCGCTGATAGAACCGCAAATGTCTGCGGTTGACCACGTCAAGTCAATTATTGACCAACCTTGGGGTCTTATGCAGGTTGGGAGAGCGCCTGAATTAATCAAACGCAGATCATGCTCCGCTGCCCATTCGTCCACGAGTTCGCCTCTGCGGTCGGTGTTTCGGGAGCCCCACTGTGAGGATTTCGCGTTGAAGTCACCGCAAATGAGGGTTCGACCGCCCAGTATTCTTATAGCTACACTTAGCTCGTCGAGGAAGGTAAGAAATTCCTCTCTGGAGCTGTTTGGGGATATGTAGCACGAAATTACGCTGATGTCTCCGTGTTTGACTACTACAAAATCCCGAGCTCTGTAGATCAACGTACACGTACGTATAGCACCGACAGGCCGCCAGTATATGGCTGCTAAGTTGTTGCTACTGCCGAACCACGAAATGTTATCCGGGACAATACGCGGCTCCGATACAGCACAGATGGCAATGCCAAACTCTGCGACGTGCTGCTCAAGGAGGTTCTGGGCTTGCCAGCCTCTACCTAAGTTACATTGGAGAATTCGATACTTCATTTCCTATCTCCATAGCAACCGGCCTCCGGTCCGGGTCTTCTGCTGTGATGGGATTGGGTTGCGCCTTAAAGTTCGCTTTACACTGATTAGACCCCACTCTATGGTTGGGGTCTTTTCCTTGCTCGACACACAAAATGCAGCGAATTGGGTTCTGGCATTTAAGGGCGGGATGATTCTCTCCACCACATCTGAAGCAGGTTTGGCTCCTGTCAACCGTAGCCGTGCACTTATTTCTTAAGTGACCATGACCCCAACACTTATAGCATTGGGTCGGCCTGGCTTTTAGAAGGTCTATACGGGCGACGGTCCAACCTATTCTAATTTTGCCCTTCTGGGTCGCTTTGATTGCGGCTGCTAAGGGACACTGGGCCCACACCGTGAATAGCCCATTTGTCATGGGTCTTATTGTGCCGACCTTTACTTCTTCGGCCTTACAGTCTCCTGCAGTGGCGATGACGTCTGCCACTTCGTCCGGGACAACCGAGTCATCGAGTCCGATGAGTCTCATTTCGCCTTTGACGACAGGTCTTGTAACCGTTGCCGACTCTCCGAGTACGATGGAGACTTTCTCTCTCAAGGCTTCAGCTTTTTCGGCTTTATCTTTGCCGGGGACTTTAATGACGATTCCGCCGCTGGCGGAATGTCTTATAGACGACTTGTCTATATTTAAATCGCTTAGCAATATTACTTCCCTGAGTTTTTTCAGGGCTGCCGCATATGAGAAGTCGTTCGTTACGCCCTTGATAGCG